TGGCATGTTTGGGAGCTGCCACAGATTACGGCAATATCGTCCGCATACTCTGAGTCAAGAAGTCGCTCATCAGGAAGTAGCCTCTAGGTCGTGTCCAGCTAACGTTGTTTCCATGACTTCATCAATAGCGAAGTTGAAGAGGAAAGGTGACAGCGGTCATCCTTGTCTCACACCGCTAGTGGTACTGAAGAATGGCGACAGTTTGTCATAAACCCTAACTCTGCCCGAACTATGCGCGTACAGCGCTTTGATAATGTTTACATATTTATCAGGCACATCTTTCCTCAGCAGACAGTCCCAAAGCGCACATCGATCGACTGATTCGGAAGCACCTTTTATGTCAGGAAACACGACAACGGTGGGTCGCCAATAAACATGGCGGTGCTCCAAGACTTGATGTAAGGTGAAGATGTGGTGGATGCAGCCCCGACCTCGACGAAATCCGGCTAGCTCTTCTCGAATCTGGCTTTCACGAGTGCCAGTCAGTCTGTGGAGAATGACAGAGGCAAGCAATTAAGAGGCAATCGTAATCAGACTGATCCTTCTATGATTGCCGCATTCCAAAATTGGGACAATGTCGGTGCGGTTCCAGTCTGTCGGGACAGTTTCCTGCTCCCAAAGTTTTACTAGCAACTGGTGTGAATCATCTATTAGAGCAGGTCCCCCGAATTTGAAGAGGGCTGGGGGCATTCTATCTGCCCCTGTGGCCTTATGTGATTTCAACAGCCTGATCTCACGTTCGACTTCTGCGCGTGAGGGCGGATCCAAGGAGACCGCACAGGGAGAAGGGCGCTCAATGCCTGAAGAAGAAAGCGATAACTCAGGTTGGTTAAATTGCCTTGCAAAGTATTCAGCCCAACGCTCCAAGCGTTTTGACAGGCTGTGGATCGGCTGCCCACTCTCGTCGCGTATGGTCTCGCTAACACCAGGTCTTCTGCTGCCTGTTTTCCGTATCAGACGGAATGATTGCCAACGGCAGCGGCTGTTTCCATCTCCGATGCACGATGAAACCACCAGGTTTCGCGGTCCTTCTTCAGGCTAGCACGTAGTGTTGCTCTGAGATTTTACGAGCCTCATTGTATTCTCTTCCAGCCGGAATACGTCGGCGAGCATCCATAAGTTCCATAGACTGTGTAGAGACCCAATGTCCGGTTTGGCAATTTGGTTTGCCACATGAAGACATGCATGCTGATAGTAACGTTTGACGGATATGTGACCAGTGATCTTCAACGGTGTTTAGTGGGCGCTTACTCAGCCCAGATGTCAGCGCACTTTGTTACACATTCAGAACATCTGGCTTCGCCAGTTGGCTGTTGTCAATCCGTTCATCTCGACGTTGCGGACGTGCACCGAAACGCACCCGGAGGTCGGCGCAGACAAGTGCGTGGTCAGGGTCCACGCTCGTGCTCCAAATCGAGCGACAGTTTTGGACACAGCCTCTCCAGCGGTAACTGATCGCGATATGATTGATTTGCGTCCATGGCTGGCCCGAGGCTGGTGGCCGCCAAGTCACGCTTCTGCGGGTGCTGTGTCGAAAGTTAGTGCTCGCGAAGAAGAGGCGAGCATCTTCACATAGCTGTAGCAATCGCTCACCGTTATCATTACGGGAGCCTACATCATGTTGGCCGCCCAGATGAAGCTCATCAGAGGACAATTTTCCGACTTGGGCGTTTAGATCGCCAGTCAACACCACAGTATCCGTGCTACTTCTGCAACGAAGGAGATCGTGAAGTTGTGGATAGAAATCGTCTTTTACAGAATCAGTGCTACAGTTTGTAAGGGCGTAGGCCGCAATGACAAACCGGCACCGTTTATCCCTGCGCGACTTGGTAGCATGGAACGAACCAGCTAATCTAACGGCGCACATCCTATTGTTTACTGGGATCCAATCGATCAGGTTAGCTTCAGCCCGGGGAGTCAAAACAATGCCGACGCCAGCTTGACCGGCATTTGAAGCTGCATCATCTCCAGACAGGCGCAATGAGAATGTATCGCCAGTGTCGTATTTGGGGATCACAGGGTAACCACGGGGCTCGAATCTTGCAGGCTGGTTTCTGATAAACAGCAAATATCGATCGATAGAGTCTCTAGTGTGCGGGCAAGTGCTACCTGTTGGCCAGTCTGTAGCAAAGTGTGCACGTTGAGGCATGCCAGTCTTAGCGAGACACGAGGACTCCAAAGGTAAACGGATGAACTGACGTTGTCCGCTTGGTTGAACATGGACTTGTCGACTGGATCGGAGCGATGCATTGCCACTGTGTGTGATTTGAAACTAGAAGACAAGGGAATATTGAAGTACGCTGCGGGAGGGCCAAGAATTAGGGGATTGAAAATGGGGGAGGGTAAAAGTAAAGTTGGAGCGGGACGATAGAGATGAAAAAATCCAAGAAGGGGTATAAGAAGACGGGTAGCCCTGAGCGGTAGCATCCATATCCCTATCCACCCTGCTCGATGCAGCAGATAGGGCGCCGTTTATTATCCTCTGCGACGGGCAGATCGTCAAGAAATTGTTTGTTGAAGGGTTCATTGTATTGCGTGGGCGGAATACTGTCAGGTTGCTCAGGCCTGGACAGGAGAACGATTAGGGTTCTCAACCAAAGTCTTTGGTTCAAAAACCTTACCGCAATGCAGCGTATTTTGGCACTGGACTACAGAGAGCTCGTTTTATGCCGTTAGGAGCCACCCTCATTCCAACCCCCAACCTATAGGACTAGGAGGCTGAGTTTGTCTGGCCTCTAACCATTGACCAATCCGGTGTGAGTGGCTCTGAACGTGCAAAAGGCACCACCCAGCATAGCTCAATGAAGCTCTGAGGCACGCAAACCATGGCACCACGGTAAGGTCCAGCCTAAATGAGCGATGGGTAATGTGTTGCACACTTTATTCTCTGGATACATCTACTAAACGTTGCTGTTAGTTTAAACTTTTGAACGCAGTCTATACGACGTTACCCTTTTCTATCATGTCACTTTGCACTTCCTAATCACCTTTAGGCGGGATCTTTCCTTGAAGTTATTAACTGTAATTTCGTACCGACGTCTTGTGTGACATAGTTAACTTACACCAATATGGAGCAATTCCACACAACTCATCATTCAGTCATGCAAAATGCCTATAACTCACCATTTTGCCGCTACTCCACTCTGCGACCTATCTTGTTCCTGAGCTAAATCAACGAAGCACCTCAGCTTTTTCGGTCACCTTGTACCCTCTTTGCAGGCTACCTGAAGATTTCGAGGGTGGTTTAGCACTCCTGATGACCGCGACATACCAGGATATTGTCCGCCTCTCCGTATGGTCTGCAGAAGCCGCATCCCGGTCAACCCAACTAAGTCGGTGTTTACGGGCCGGCCAACTGCTTCATGCCTGACCTTTCTGGAACGATCCGGACGTTTGTTCACGTTGCGATTTGAAGTCTGTGGACAACACGAACAGGCTATACCGAAACGGTCTGCGCATGTTTTGGGCGCTCGAACGTAGTTTCTGCATCCGGTTTTAAGAGGTTTTCACTCGGCCTCTCTTTCCAACTAGAAGACAAATGTTAGAGTACGGCTCTCCCTATTATTTCCCGATCACTCGGGGCGAGGTGCAAGTGCTGGAACGTGTTCAACATATAGCTACCAGTCGTATCCCTTATTTGCGTGGTGTCGCATCGTTGGTTTCAAGTGGATCTTCTAATGATACACCGGATATTATATCTCGGTTACTTCCGTATGCTGATGCCACTACTGAAACTGCGCGTACCAAGCAGCACTCCCGGGCACCGGTATAAGCCCGAAGTATCGGATCCGAAGCTTATCACATTCTATGCGCTTCGAGATTTGTGTCTTGAAATATTGGAACAATTCACCATAGCCAGTAGTCGCTGCAAAATCGGTGTCGGAATTCTAAAGCATTTTGGATGCTCATTTTCGGATTATAGATTTTGTGAGCTTACCGAACCTGAACAAGACATTACACAACCGCAACATGCTTAAAGTGCCTAGGAATGATTACGGAATTCCGCTCAAGTGTCTGATCTAATTTCGATGGAGCAACATTTTTTGCCAGCTCTGTATTACCAGTATTTACTATTCGGGAAGATAGCCTTGTTTCTTCACCGTTTGCTGATGTTATACTCAGCTATGAATGACGCTCGCCTACTCATAGTAACTTAGGTGGCGGTTATGTATTTCAGTTCTCTCGATCGAGTTTTCGCCCCATGCACTTACGTCTACTGATGGGCGCCGTCACTGAAAGGATCGGTTTTCCCTTCATTTCGTCAGTTTTTTTGGCTTAGCTAATCTCCCAGGTATCTTCAGCTCATATGATACGAAAAGTTTGAAATTAACGCTAACCGTGAGGTAGTATGACGTGCAGTAGCTGTATGTACAATTTCTCTTGCTCGTGTCGATCAAAGTATATTGGGAAAACTACCAGGCGACTATCCGTTATAACTCGAGAGTATTGCCCAGCGTGGCTGTACAGCGGTGCGAGAAAGAATGGAGCAACTGCAGTGTCGTCGCACCTAGCAGATTCCGATCACCAGACCAGTTCGTATGACGCATTCTTACCAACCTACTGTGTACCCGTACGTTACACACGAGCAGTTAGATGCCGCCTGCTATCAACGGCAGAGGAAACCGCAATTCACCTTCATAACCCGTACAGAAAAATCTAGTAAAAATTCTCAGATTACCCTGGGCAAAAGTCAGCATGACCGGATTTCACATCAGCCAGACCAATCTCGTAGTCTTATCGATTAGATGCTTTGCTCTAGTGACTCACCGCGTTTAGACTTCTTGTGGCCATTCTAGCCAACTTTGTCGTGGTTGTACTAGTCTGATGATGAAGCTCTGAAGGCAAGCTTGTTCGTTGGTTTTCGTTTCTGATGTGTTCCAAGTCGATTATCTCGTAATCTTTTAGTTTTTATATCTGTCCACCCTACTTAACTTCCAAACGTTCGGAACTGTCGTCTCTCTTCTCATCAATCTTTATTTTTTTACCCCTTTCAAAATCAGCATATTCCCATGGCGCGGCCCACATGACTGTTTTTTCGGTTGGAACGTAGTGGTGTGTGTCACGTGCTCTGTGTTCCCACTGGTTTTCTACCGACATCTCGACGAAGGCGTCGTACAAATCCTTTTGGAGTTCTTTTTTCTGGGTTAGTTATCAATTAAATCGAAGCAAATCTTCCACCGGGGATGATTCTTAATGTCAATTGCTATATGTGATGCGATTCTGTTCATATTAGGGTGCTTTTTACCGCCACCTTCGTATTCACTCCCAACTGGAATACGATATTATAGAAGCAACTATAAATTGAAATCTGTCCAACCTCGTGGATATATGATTAAAGGCGTTAAGGAAAATAAAATGAATCTGTGATCTTGACTAGAAATCGTAGTGCTCGTAGCTCGGGTTGACTGATGGGATGTTGAAATTTTCTTCTAGTCGGGCAGTTTAGCTGCAGTCGTTTCACCACCAATCGAAGTGTCGTCTTCAATGCGTCGTAGCAGATAACTGGGTAACAAATAATGAGCTTCGAGCAAATTTAGAGACGGATGCCGTTGGCACATAACCGTGCCACAAAAAAGCATATAAAGAACGACCCAGTAGCCGATGTCTTTTATCACTGGGTTTTCTCGGTATCCTCAGTATTTGCTATCGACACCCTATCTGTGACCTGTCAATGCTTCACTCTTTTTTGAGCCCTTACCTGATATCGTAACAAATGCAGGACTCGTAGTAGCTTGGAACTTGCAAACGTACGATATCTCTGTACTCAACAATGGAGACCTATGAACCCGGCAATATTTTGAATTACACTAGCGAGTTCCCTTCCACTGGGTGTGCACGCAAAGTGCTCCAAACATTGACCACTCAGTTCGTAGCATAGGGAGTGTGGAACTCGTTTTATACCCGGCACCACAGGCGTATACTGCTGTCTGCGTGTACTGCAAGTTGATCTCAAGTGTATCGTTGGAGTCAGCATGGGGCAGTAACCAAGATGTGAAATACGGTAGGTTTACTTCCACGCGAGGATAGGACAGGGTGTACAGGCTATCTCAATGATCTTCATACAGTACATTCCGTAAACTGGGGATAAACGTGGTAGTGACCTGTCAGGCCTATGAGACCGGACCCTGGCTTCGGAAAAATCGTATTCTAACATTTATCTTATGATTGGAGAGAAGAGTCGAATGGCGACCTCAGACTAGATGCAGAAGCGACGTTTAAGCGCCCAAAACATGCACAAGCCATTTCGGTGTAGTCTGTTGGTGTTGTCAGCCGACTTCAAATCGTAACGTAAGAATACGCCGGGTCCTTCCTGGAAGGTGTAGGATGAAGCACTTGATCTGCCATCGCCACCTTCTCTAGGCTCATAAGCACCCACTTGTTTGGGTTGATCGGGATGCGGGCTTTTGCAGACCGCACGTCATCTTATCGTAATACTGTCTTACGTTGTCTATCGCATTTGCTTGTTGACTCAGTGAAATTTATAAACACACTGCGCGAGCGGTTGTTGTAATGACAGTTCTGCATATTTTCCACTTTTCCCCGGATGTGTGTTTATTGGTATTATCATCCACTTTTCCGCAGTGGTGGTGTAAATGCTGAAAATGAACACATTAGGTTTCATAAATCTTATTTTCACTTGGCTTGTGGGGCGGTCGAGATCAAGGTGAAGTACGTCGCGGTCATCCGGGTGCTAAATCACTCATCCAGGTCGTCTGCAAACAGGACACTGTGACTGATGAGGATGAGCTAGGTCAATTTTATGGCTAAGGAACAGTGTAGACCCTAGCGCTATTCCTTGGGATATGCTACGAGTCGTGGGATGCCAGTCGGCCAATTGCCCGTTAATTTACACCCTCCGCTTTCGTCCAACTAGAAGTTGCGAATGCCGTGGTTCACTGAGACACCAACAGCACGCAGTCAGCTTGTGAAGAGGGACCCATAGTTTACCTTGTTGAACGCCTTGTTGAAATGGATGTAACTTGCGTCGACAAATCTTGGTTTACTGCCTGTAACTATTCATGCCTTGTCACGATCAGGTTATTAATGCAAAAGCGGCGTAGCATGAAACCGTGCTGCTTGGGCATCATATTTTTTACAGGATCAGCTACCATGGTTAAAATTAATCTCAGACCAATTGGCCCGTAGGTGTCTACTTTGTTATGGTTAAAGCCTTCGGGACTTTGCCGAAAATCATTTACAGTCACTCGACAATGAACATTCGGACATTGACTTTTTGAACAGGTCAATTATGACAGGTGGGATGATGGCCGATAGGGACTTGAGAATTAGTGAGTGAACTCCGTCAGGCTAAGCACGCTTGGTGCTCTCAAGCTTAACGAGTAGTTGCTCCTGATCTCTCTGCAAACTTTCATCAGCTCTTCCAGATCATTCGGACCACCAGCCACAGATGACTTGATCTCATTGGCGCTCTCTGTGCAGTAGATGGATCACGGATCACCAATTTGCGTAGGGGCACGAACTGTTGGGCTGAGTATTTCCTCTCCATTTAGTTGGTCTCCCTCGTCAACTTCTGCCCAGTACACCCGGTCGCATGCCGTGGGACGTTTCGCTAGAACAACCCACTGAAGCGAAGATGGACTTAAATCTTCGACACTTAAAGCGATTCAAGGATGCCGGCTCAGACGGACTTCCTCCGGAGCTGTCAAAGTACGGTTGCGAGGCAATTGTCAACTAGTTAACAACTGCCCTTCAACTTTTGTCAAGCACGTAACCTTCCATTATCTTAGGACGAGTCGATTGTCATCCCTGTCTTAAAAAATGATGCCCGTACCCTGTGCGCTAGTCACAGCGGGATTAGCCGAATACCGTTTGTCTCCAAGTTGTTAGCATCCTTTCGAAGCCAACGACTAACTCCGATTCGTGACTACACTCCTGTAAAGTACAGGCTATTTCCTCCCAGGTTGAGGGTGTGCGGTTCACATGTTTACGCCATGCCAACTCGTTGACCGTTGTTTTCTCTTACCATTTTTGCCTTTCTGCTATGTTCGACTCGGTTGATCGACTCTCTTCATCGCATTACCTGTGAGAACGAAGCGCCTTAAGAGCATACCATCTTACGAGCGTAATACCTCCATTTCTCTGGCAGACTGAAGGCCTGCGGTAAGTTCTCTTAGGTTTTTATCGTCACTAAACGTTTGCCACACGGATGCTTTCTGTATCCGTTTCTGTCAACTTTGAACTTGAAGACGCCTTTCCGAGCTCTCTGAAAGTCGATACTGGCGTAGAGCTTTTTCCAAGTACATGTGCGGCTGACTTGGATTATACTAATGTAATAGCTTTGCCCATCGGTATCTCACAAATTATGTATCTCATTCTAGACCGATTAGCAACTAATCAACTGAATGTCATGAATTTTGCCCTCCTTGAAATGCGAAATCATGCTCTGGGATTGGCATCTACTTGCTTCACGCCTACTCCTGAAGTTATCGAGCTTTGACAAATGGACAACTTTGTTTATCTGGAAGGTTGCGTTCCTGCTGATGGCACCATTGGTAGGCAGATTTCTCTTCGTGCTTCCAAAGTCCGATCAACATTCACCAATCTAAGCATCTTTGACATCTTCCGTACGTTTCTCTGTCAGTAATGGGCAGGGTCTACAATGCCTATGTTTGCGTTGTGTTGTTGTACGGGAGTGAGTCCCGGTCGACTGATGTTAATGACATTTGTCAGCTTTTCGCCTTCAACCGCGCACGTTTGGTGGGATATCTCGTATGTAGAGGGAACAGCACGTTTGCAACGACGAAGTCATGCGTCTTAGGTAATACGAGCCTTCCTTTCAGCATTCTAGTGTCACTGTGCCAGTTTAGATGGCTTCATCACGTCTTACGCATGCCATACGATCGATTACCAGGTCGGGCTTTTCTCGCTCGCACAGGACCTCAATGGAAGAAACTAGGCGGTGGTTAGCCTGTGGCACCGCAGCAAAATGTCAGATCTCTTGCTACTGGTTAGCTATCATCGGCCCCGTGCGTCTTCCTGGCTGAGGGCCAATGAATGAAATATGATGTGTAGCACTCCAAATTCCAAACAGTGTCTGGGCATTGATCAACGTCTATTGTTCGTAATGGGAAGCTTCGCTTATACTGTAAGACGCCATTTGGTTGCGACGGCTTCATATTGGTAAATTTTCGCTTTCGCAGATTCCATCTGTTTATGTTCATTCGTCCGCACGTTCCGCTTGTTTTAGTCCACTTCTACTTTGTCCGCATTGAGTCATGATTGGATGCGTCCTTTCTCCTTTGTCAGTCTGGCCAGCGGGGACGCTTCATCCGCTCACGACTTTTTCGGCCAATCGGTTTCGCCGTTGTTCGAGTCATAGTTATGTGGTTCTATCTAGGCTGAACCAACCCTGATTTCTCTCTCGACTCATCTCCGCGTTCTCAGTTTGCGTCCTCGGCGACTGATTGGCCTCCTGCTTGTCTACACTGCCTCAGTCACTTTCAATCAAACCACTATTACCACAAAGAACTCCGCTGGTTTGAAATACTTGTGGGTTTGCATCGACATTGGGGTTGTAGCTACGACCGGTCCTTCCGAGCTTAATCACCAAACGTACGCACAGTCTGGGCAGTAAAATATGAGGGCGGTGGGCGGAATAATTTGTACTGAATGACCCGTGATTCTACAAGAATTTAGTCAAAGCTACAGAGGTGACTTTTACGCATAGGTGAAAAGACTAGCAAACGGATGTAAGTAAGCCCATAAGTTCGAACCGCGGCGGTAATGGAGGTTCAGTAAACGCAGCGCAGTAAAACAGAGGACTGGATACTTAGCCTCAGGTTATGGTTAAAGGGCGGAGATGTCATGTAAACTCAAAGATAAACACGTAAATTAACGCGAATGTCAGTTCCTTCGAATAATTATCAGAATTACAATCCCACATCAGTGAGTGGATGCGTGACGTGATAACATGTTAAAGAAAAGTGAACTACTTATAAATTGCCAGTAATGTCATTCAGCTTCGTGAATTGTACTTCGCAAGGGTCATTGGAAAATTTCATGAATGCGGATTTAACTTCAACGTCTTAATAAAACTGTAAAAAACGAACGTGTATCTTTTTTTCTGTCGGCATTTCGACCTATGACCTCTGTACTTATCGCGCCCATTTCGTGATTTTTGATAGCTTTTACACTATTTTATCTACTGCTGCAATTACAAGTATAGTCAAATAACTTGATCAATACTCTTTGTTGTCAGCTTTCTGCTTTCTCGGTTGTATCGTTTACAGCGTTTTACCTGGCCGAATGGAACTTATTCCAGTCCCTTCTACTGGGAGAACTAATGTTCCTGGGTTCCAGCGCACTTCTGTTTCTATTGCTGCTGGGGTAAGCGTCTGTACGGTGTGACTCCAGTTTTTGTCCTCTCTACTCGGAGTAACTGTGCGTTATCTCAAGTCCAAGTAGCCTTGCTGTGCTTACACATGCAAAGCACTCAGGTAACAAGAAATTTCCCCATATTGCTTGCCATCCTCGCAAATCGATGTTTTCGCTGTGATAGCTACAGCGTGGGTATGTGTGTGTACTGAAAAGAACGAAAGTGGCAAGAAGGTTACATCTTGTTGCAGTAACCCGAATTCTAGAGCTCGAAACTTTTCTATACTTCATATCGAATTTGATTCTTAGCCGCTGTTTTTACTGGTACCGAGATTTCCATATGGCGAGTATCCTTTGTACTTGAATATGGTCTAACGGAGCTTCAGCGTTTATATTGTCCTAATCGGGACTTCCGCTCCAGTTCACTACCTCAAATTAACCGTAGATTATTCATTATCCGTTGGTTTTCCAAAATTAAACGCAGACACTATCCTGTAATACCTCTTAATTTAACCTTTGTTTTCTATCTTTCGAATCAACTTTTGGTGGCATTCTGTCTGTTATTCAGTTCATTTCGGTTGAACCACTATGTTCCGAGCACCGATGTTCGGTGGATCCAGTTGCCACTACTCGAACCGTAAGAATAGCAACGGTAGAACAGTGGGTTTGGGTGCAAATAGAATGCAGAGACAATGTATGCAAGAATCAAATGCGTTAGACCAATCGGAATGGAACGACAATTAACAACCAGATGTAAGGAACCGAATGCAGGAAGGACACTGACTTCGTGACTTTGCCATGTATGACACGGTGTTCAACCATTGGTATGGACCATCTCGAGGCTCCCCGTCCAGGGAGACGACACACACCAGCCTGACCAAGTTTCTCAATCAATTTCTTCATGCCTCGATGCCACATCATGGATTGGCCACCTCGAGGTTTCACCCAACTTTGTGCGGCCACGGCGTATAATGCACGTCGAGGAAGCCGATCAACTGACATACGGAGGACATGGCCTAGCCAACGCAAGCGGCTAAGATTTAGCAAACACTCGAATGAGGTGCCAGAAGGCTTCTTGCCAAAAACCAACTGACGGACCTCAGCATTGCTCAGTTCGTGTTCCCACCAGACGTGAACACTATTCCGCAAGTACCGTTGGTCAAACACGGACATGTGTTTAACGTCGTCGCTGCGAACTGGCCAGGTCTCTGATCCATACAGTAAAATCGGCGTCTTAACGTTATACACCATGCTTTCCACTGACAAGCTGATATCCCGCCGTCTTCGTAGATGATGGAACCCCTGGAATGCCACAAGCGCCTTGTTGATATGTCTGTTATTTACAACGCGTATATCTCTTTTATGTTTATCCAAAGATGCATAGTATATAATTTTAACTCTATTCTGCTGCCTAACTTTTCCGCGCTATTGTGGATGGTTTCTTCTACATTTTCCCTTTCACCACTACATGCAGTGCTCTTTCGTGTTGGAGCACATTTTCTGCTTAAGAGAGTAGCCAAACAGTTGTCCCACCAAGTATCTCCTCTGGAGGTACTGGCCCTCACAATATTGAACAAATAATTAGGTATATTCTCCGACAAACGGGGAATGTTTCCATTAGGGAGCGACCATGCGTATATGGAAACAGTATTAATATTTAACACGTCTTAAGACTTCACGATTATGACTGGTGTCACTAATGCTTCCTATTTTACGACGAATCCAAACACGTATTCGATTTTCGTAACTGGCCCACCTCAGGCTCCTGTTTAGGTTATCTGATTTAGTTTCCTAGCCGGCCCATCAACTGATGGTAACAAGCTTGTCTTGTAATCTTGCAGCGCGGGTTCTTGCCTGCGTGGGGCAGGGCGACCGTCGCAATATTCTTAGCTCACTTGCGACCGGTGGTGTTTAGGCGGCAGCGAAGCGTCGGTACTGCGTATCGGCGTACTGCTGATGCCTTTCTAAATCTCGTTCAATTCCTACGTATCGAAATTCTGTGGTAAAATCTTTGTTGGTTGCAACTTATTATTTTAAAGTGTTGCGGGTTTGCTTAGTGCGAACCTTGGAGGTCCGTGTATTGTTGATCTCTTTTTATTTAATTAAGTAAACCACAGAGCCATTGATACCTGCTGTCCAATTAGTTGGATCACGGATCATTGTGTCACGAGTTGCATTTGAGCTTAGACAATTGAGCTTTACTCTTGGGATGGATTGAACCTGTACACAACTCTGTTGGGGTATCTTATGGGAGTCTATGTTGTTATCCACCTAAAGGCCAGAGCCAGCGACCCAGTGTTTTGGGAAGCACGGTAGGTTGCTAGTCGGCTAACTAGATAGTTCAAGGGTGTTTTTGCCGTAGTTGCAGGAAACTCCGTGAAAGGATAGACAGGAATTACAGGACACTCAATCGATCAAAATATACAGGTGTGGTAATAATATGTGTAAGCATAACAACTCCATATCCTCTAAATCGCCAGAGATAGAGGCATGCAGCGCAGCCGGATCCTACAGCGAGAGTTAGACGAGATAAAGGCGAGTACTTACTGTGTTCGGGAATGTGCTCCACTTGAATCTATAAGGTCCACGTCCTCACAACTTTCTTTTTTCTATTAGACTGCATTATCTGTCATCATTCTCGCACTTTCCATGCTATTCTGTTGTCAATAGGCTAATTGTTACTTATCGACTTTTCAGGTACTACCTGCTTGGTGATATCCGCGTTCCAAACAAACGCTTTCCACATCCACGATGTTTTTTATCACGTGATTTTCTTATCACCTGCCTCGTCTCCCCTGCTATGACCAAATTAGTTCTGGTGAGCTTTCACCTCATTCAAGCTACACCTGACTCCTCTCACTTGATGACGTTTGCGGCGATTCGATCGTCTAGCTTCCGAATCCGTTGCGACAGTATATCCATTTTCGGAATCTACCTTACCTTCTTCGGATTGCTCTGCGGAGCGCGCATAATGAACTGCTTCTGGCACTTTGCTTCTCTTGTTTGTAAATTTGGAATCTCTTCCTCCCTAGCGGCTTCAAGCTACGTGAGTTTCTCCACCGTCTTGACTATTCCGTTTCACCCTTATTTTGTGTATCTTTCTTCGTTTGGTTACATGATCCACCAGATGCGAACTTCTAGCACTAGCTATTTTGAAGACTTTCCTTGCACTACATAACTCTCATACTAATTTGAGCGTCTATCATGCTCTCATATTTCGTAATTGATCCACCTTATCACTCCCCTCCCATTTCTAGCTAACTGCTGTGCTGAAAGTGCTCGGTCTTGCCGTTTTCATGTATTGCTCCCTCGATCTGTTCTGGTCCATGTTTGTCCAAGTTCTCTTTGGTTGGTCAACATCCAGTCGGCTACTTCAATTGCGTAAGTTACTCTCCGCACTGTGTGTGTTCCCATTTTCTTTATTTTGATTACTCACCTCAACACGTCGTTGAGGGGGGGGGGCAGCTTTCCACTGAATTACCACGATCACCTCTGCACATTGTTCTCCGTGTACGGTCTTATCCTTATTTACCGTTATCATACGGGGCTTGCTGTAGCTAGGAACCGAATTCTTGCATGGAATTTGTGGTAGACATAAGTAATACAGTGGGTCCCCTTCAGCCATTTCCTTAAGGCTGAGAGAAGGCAGAGGTTGCGATATGTCAACATTTCGATTGTTCTCTTCAGTCGCAAACACAATGCGAGCAGAAACACACAAACGATTATATACATGGAAAAAATAAGCAACACCAATCAAAATGTCACAGCCACGACCATGGCAACCGAATTGATTGCCTCAAGAGTTTCTGTGCACATAGCACAGGTTGATAAGCCTTAATTAACAAGGCCTCACTAATTGCCAGCATTATCGGGTTTTTGTTACGTAGTAACACTTTGAACGCTGTCTCGGGGTTCACGTGATGACTGATTGTCATGAGGTGCTTGGTGATAGACGATGCTGGGCTCCGATTAATTCTCAGATCCGACCCATTTTGTCCCAACCACTGGTAAATTTTCAGCTACCCTCTGAGCCAACTGACGGTTTGTTCTGCCTATGTAAATGTTACCGCAACCACAGGTGAACTGATAAACAACGTGAGAGGCTGAATTACCCGACAAAATGCTCTGATGGTTATGAAGAACAAGTCCTCGCGTGGTATACATGAGTCGCAATTTGGCTGTCGTGTAGGTGCGCGTTAGGGCGAACCAGATTTTGCGTCCGATATCATTTGCCACGTGGTCCCTCATGAACGGCAAATACAAATAAACATACTTTTTCTCAGCCGTGAACACCGGTATTTTCACGCTGGGAGATCCGCTGTGTCCTTGAATAAACTCAGGATATCCATTAGAAATTAAGGTCTTGCGTACAGTTTCTTCTTCGGCTTTTACTGTTTCGGGGCTGCAAATACGTTTAACCCGGTATAAGCGCGTTTTCACTAAGTCGCGTTTTTATGCGATCGGGGCGAAGCTTGAAAAATGAAGGTACTGTCCACTCCAAATCGATTTGCGGTGAACACTGCGCTGCGACCTTCCTTCAGCCCGTCTCCTGATGAGTACATCTAAAAACGCCAGGCAATTGTGTTGTTCCACTTCATGGGATACCGACAGATTAGGGTGAATCGAATTGAGAATGCTCAGCAACCGGGAAAATGTTTCCCACTGGTGAAGACTAAAATGCCATCCACATATCGTCCGTACAATTTCGCTTCACCAATGCTGGCAGCAACTTGTCTTTCTATCAGGCCGAGGAAGATGTCGGCTAAAACTTGTCCCAGAGGGCTGCCCATACCGACCCCGTCAACCTGTTTGTATGCGATCCCCTCAAATTCAAACCGTATGTTCTCGGTGCACAATAGAATCATATCCTTTAAATACTCCTTCATAAGTAGAACATGGAACTTCACATAGTCTTCACAATTTTTACAAGCATCGACACATTGCCATAGACAGGGAGACAGATGAGCTTTCTGCTCCCCATGTTCATCGATCTAGTCTCAGGATAATTCCATTCGAATCAAGTGGTTATACTGTTATATGAAATAGTATAAGTAGAAGTTCAGCACATCTAGGCTCAGTCATATAGGCATCACACGCCTGGAAAAACACTGCACGGCCGTTTTATCTTTTCGGGAATCATCAACAATACACATTCCATCTGGCCCTTGTGGAATTCAAACCCGCAACCCGACCGTTATTAGCCCACCTGTCCAGGCAATTGCATGACCGACATCTGCCAGATAATCGTTACTCTGGCCCCAACAACTCGCACTTCACTCTCGTCAACGACTGACACCGGACTTGGCATTAAGGCAACTGACCAACCAAAATAAGCGAGGAAATCGGACGGTATAAACTTGAAACCGGTGAGTTTCGGCATTTGTGTTACCATTTCGGGGTTCCAAAAATGATTCTATTGGTTATATTTTCTCTCAGTAATTCATCGTCAAACTAGCGTCACCTTTGGTTCCATCCATATCCTGTAATTCAGGATTTTTTATTACATCTTTCTATGTTTTTATAGCTGATCTTCAAGGTTAGCTTTGCCGTCTGATTTCTTCCTTTATGGTGGCGAGAAAACCAGTTGTTCCTCCAAAAAAAACTGACAACAAGCGTCAGGTAGCCAGCCGTAAGCCGAGTACTGCTAAGCTCGGTGTTCAAAATTTTTTGATTCTCCTGACCAGAGTGCGAATTTGGTTATAGAAGATGGCATGGAAAATATCAGGAACCGGCTAACGAGGACTGCTAACAATAAGAGCACTGCTCCATTTCTGATGCATGCAATTGCTACCAAAATCCGCAATCTAGAAAATGATTTAACCATATTAACCGAAAAGCTCAAAGAGGTCAGGCAGGTACTGGATACACTGACATCATTATCATACTTAGTGAATGTGCCTGATAAACCGAACGTAAATCACTTGCAAGCAACAGCATCGATCTTTTCGTCGCTCACCACGGAAATTCGTGAAAGGATAAATCGGGCTAGAAATATTGTCATCTTTAATGTACCAGACAAAATACACCTGGAAACTGAAGCGTGTCTTGTTCAGTCCGGGTAGAATGAGTGAAACAAACTGTCACCTTATACGCCTAAGAAAAGCAAACCTTAAGTACGCGTGTCTAATTCTGTTAAAGTTTACAGAAGAAACCCATGCCCAACTATTTCACAAGAGATGCAGTTTAATTGCTACCAACACTGAGTTGAACGTAACATGATCAAACGCTCCTTCAGAGGGAAATTAGGGTAAAGCAAGCACAACCCGCTGGCAAAGCTACACCCTGTAATATTGTTAGTCACCAAGCTGATATAGAAGCCAAAAACCAACCTACTGTAGATTTAGATTTGTCCCCGTGCAAGTGTGGTTCTACAGTTCAAAGTTCAGATTGCTCTATGACCTCGACCTCGAATTTAGCTTTGGGAAGTCTTGCAAATCTACTGGCCATAGTTATCCTCAGACAAACGCACATAATCTGGACATTGTAATAGACGACTTAAACGGCTCAACGACCGCAGGAAGCAGCGAAGTACCTACTAGTATTCCGACTGAAGCTAATGTGCCTCTACTGATTACCGACAAGATGACAATGCAGATGAACTTAGGACCCCTAAACACGAAATCGCGTCCGAACAACAATATAAACTGAGAGCAAGTCGGAACCAAAACAAAACTACAGTCACTTAACGGCAACGCTGCATTTTACCAGAGGAGTCATGGGACCGTTAGAAACCAGACCAGTAATCCCGTGCGACTGAGATGTTCTACGACGAACACTCAATATACCAGCTGCAAAAATAGTTCCTCTAACATCAGACATCAACTTCCGATGACAAGTAAAACGCGTCTTTACATCCCTTCTGTAAACTTAAGGCAGCTCTTTAACCAGTTTTAGAAGATCTTGATTCTATCGCCCTGTTCATCTACCGCCCCCGGCTGTTACACCCACGTACATTGTAAACACGGATACATTCTCTCTGACAATTGTTGAGTACCCTAGAGCTGCAGTGTGTCACCAACCTAAAGATGCTAACGTATCTGCTTTAGACAAAGCACAGAACGTATGCCCGCCATGGGTAAACGACCTAAGTAACCCCAAATACGGACCATGACTCAGCCAACACATGTCACTTACTGCAAACCCCTGACGGGCAGCCCCTTCGAGGTGACATCAGTCAATACTACTGTGCCACCTATAGATAAAGTAAACCTCATGTCACCTTGCGGATCGTTAGGTATGTGGGATTCACCCCCATACTCCTAGAGATGCCTTTCCGTGCACGTGCGTGAAAACTCCATAAGAATACATCAGCTCCATCAAGGCACTACCATTTTACTCCCATATTTAGTTGAGAAAACATATTTTCACATCGACCGCATCCAGCCACAGAGATTTTTCCTAGATCCCACGCCCCATCCTCTACCCCACCTAGCCACTTAACACATGACAGTCCCAGAGGAATAGAGCGTCGTTTACACAAAATATTATGTAAGCGCATGGATTATACCTTTTTTGATGACACATTCAAACTGGTGCTCATCAATGCCCGTTCTCTAGTACATAAAATTGCACTTGCTCCGCTGCTTCCTCCTTCATCAACCCCATATCCTTCGTATTACCGAATCATGTTGTACGAGTGAGAGTGCGGACCATCTCATTGCTATCCAAGGTTGTTACTTCTTCCAATAGGACGGATATCATGGTAGGGGAAGTGGTTGTATCATTTATTGTCTGAACAACTTATGTGCTTCACAATGCACTGCCGAGCGATTCGCATCAGGCTAAAATCTTGAATTGCCTGTTTGAGGGAGGCTGGACACCGCATGTTACATCTCCCACACGGTTGCGTAACACACTCGACCTCATCTTCACTGCTGGACCAATAGTTGCTGTTATCGACGTAATGTACTGTCTACAGGTAGTGACCACATTGTTGTCAGTTGCAAAATGAACATTGCATATACATCTAAAACCCCATTTAGGCACGTATGTAATTTTGGTTGAATAAACTGGAGCAACTTTGCTACCCTTGTGCATACTTCTGACTGGACTGATTTCTTCCTGTCATCTAATCCAAAGGTGTCATTTCAAGCGTTTCTTTGAGAACATACATCAATGCATCGAAATACTGTCGCCTTCTCTAGCTCGCAGTCGAAATAACACAGGCACAGGAGAAACAACACGAACGTAAGCTTAGAGTTCTTTCCAAACTGTTTCAACCGACTAATGACTTTAGAGTACTATTTAGGCTTCACAGAATGTTGATGAAATATGAACACCTGATCATTATTCGTCTCAAGATAGAAGACAGAAATCATGAAAAGTTCTAATTCAGTGTTTGAGATAACACGAATAGTAAAAATGCGAAGTCACACACAATG